AGATGTTATCGCTACATATTTATGACTCTCTGAAAGGCCATTGGCATTGAAATTCCTGCAAGGATAATTTTATCAAACTTAAGCGTGCACTTCAAGGTCATGGGTCCTAAGTTCCACCTCTAAAGTGAATTGGTTTTTTTTTTTTAATAAGCAAATGTTTTATGTTATTTTTACAGATGTCATTTAATTACTGTCCAGTGTGTGACATAGCACATGCAGATTCCATTTATTAACACGGTACATTGATGTGGCCTGCACAGGAGCTGGTTATAGATGCTTGAAGACAAACATTTTGATTTGAATAGTTACATATGTTAATATGGGCTCTTGATTCAGGGCAAAATTCTTAATTTTCTGTAGATGGTAGTGACTGACACACAGCTTTCATTTTAAGTGTAAGTTAAAAGGTCAGTCAACTTATAGAAAAATATTGAATAAAAATATGGCAGCCTGCTCATGACCAAGGCAAAAATTGAGAAGATGTCCTGTGAATGAGCAAGCTGTGGACACACCGGTTCCCGCAGTGACAGGAAAGATGTACGCACTGGGGCTTTGACAGTCATGATAGTTAGCGTCTGAGCCATTCTGGCGACCAGTGACTGGCGTGTTAGGCTGTGGCTGCCTCAGGAGCCTGCTTCCCACGTGATTCTAATTGGCCCACACAGGAGTGAAACTGTGACCCTTCCCTCATTAGCCACATGCTCAGACCAGCTGAGCTAGCTCACGCTGGGTCACTGGGGTCCCTTGTAGGAAATTACCATTCCAGTGCCCCGTGGCCCCATTGTAACCCCAACTAATGAATGTCCCCTGGAGTGTAATGTCATTCCTGGGGGAGCACACAGCTCTCCCAGAGGTGAAGATGATATTCTGAAGGTTTAACCTAGGAAGGGCCAACTGAGGGGGCACTGAGAAGTGGGGAAGCCGAGAAATAACCTTTCAAACACCTGTGTGCTGGAAAAAAAGGACAAAGACAGCATCAGCTCAGCTGTGGTGGATCTGTTCTCAAGACGCAGAACGCAAGCACAGGGAAGCAAAGACAGCTGCGGGACGTCATACAGCAAGTTCAAGTGTAAGCAACAGACTGTGCTCTATGCAGTTAACATGTTATAGTGCAAATTTTTATTTTTTTAATATTTATTATTTTTATTTTATGTGTATGAGTGTTAGGCCTGCATGTCAAGTAAGTGCACCCGTGTCATGCAATGTCCGCGGAGGACGAGTTTCCTGACAAAAGAGTTCACCAAGCCCTTTCTCTTACTGAATGGAAATTTTTTTTTAATTTATTTTTATTTTATGTGTATGTGTGTATTGCCTGCATGCAGGTAAGTACACCTGTGTTGTGCAGTGCCTGTAGAGGTCAGAAGAGCCTGTCAGATCCCCTGGAACTGGAGTTACAGACAGTTGTTAGCTGCCATGTGGGTGCTGGGATTCGAACCCCGGGTCTTCTGCAAGAACAGTGTTCTTAACTGCTGAGCCGTCTCTCCAGCCCCCAAGTGCGAACTTTTAAAAAAGATTTTTCAGTTTTATTTGTGTGTGTGTGTGCACGCACACTATGTGTGTTCAGGTGCTTTAAGAGGCCAGAAGAGGGTGTCAGATCCCCTGGATGGGGCTGGTGTGAGTAGTATGAGCTGCTGGACATGGGTGCTGGGAATCAAACTACGGTCCTCTGGTAGAGCAATAAGTGCTCCTAACCACCGAGTCACCTTTCCGGCCCTCACTAGCCACTTTTTCAACAATTTATTTATTATTTTTTATTTCATGCATGTGTTTGCCTGTATGTATGCACCCATATTGTGCAATTCCTGAACAGGTCAGAAGAGGGCATCTGATCCCCTGGAAACTAGAGTTTAGGATGGTTGTTAGCCCATGTGGGTGCTGGGAATTGAACCTGGGTCCTCTGCAAGAATAGCCAGTGCTCTTAAGTGCTGAGCCATCTCTCCAGCCCTGTCACTACACACTTTTAATGGTAAATGGTGGATGCCCATTTTAGAAAAGAGGAAACTGGGACTTAGATGTAATTAGCTAGTGTCAAAGATCTTTCCAGCAACATCACATTGTGGCAATGACCATGCCATCAACGATGCTTTGCTGGGCCACAGCCCCTCCCCCTTTCACCTGTGTCCATGAGGTGAGTGGCTTGGCTTTGTCATGTGTTCCTACTTCATGCTGCCTCACCCCAGGCCTGAAGCAATGGAGTCAGTCAGTCAAGGACAGGAACCTCTGAAACTGTGGGCCAAATGAAACTTTTTTAGATTTATAAATTGATCAAGTATTTTGTTATAGTTATGGAAAGCAGACTAAAACTGTCACCTTATTAATTATTCATTTGAAATTCAGTTATTTCACATATTCTACTTGTCTTAACTATATATTTGTTGCTAGAAAATCATGTGTCAGGCAGGGCAGGGCAGATCTTCCGGAGGCCTTGGAAGGTACTAGTAGATAGATAAGCATTGTTACCCTTCTGCCCTTCTGTTCCAACCTACAACAGGCTTCCCTCTGTTGAGAATAAGTGCTCCTTTGACTCAAGAACATAGTTGCTTCCTGGAATGGAAGTTCCACTCTGGTGATGGAATCCTGAGGCACAGCCATGCTCACAACTGGCCTTTCATCACCACCGGGTGGAACTGAATTGTTTCAAAGTGGTGAGAAACACTCCTGAGAAACGAGGGCTTCAGGACAGTTGTTCTGGGCCAGTTGCTTGCCCTCAAGTGGAGGAGAGTCTTCTAGGAGGAGAGGACTGTGACAGGCCCCTGGAAGCATGGAGCCTGGGAATCTCTCTGGACTCTCCTCTAAGCACCTGCCCTCTGCCAGCAGCTGGGCTTGCTGACCTTCAAATTAGGTAAAAACAATTCACTGTGTAAGCAGATTAGAGCTTAGTTTTTCTTGATTTCCACTCTGTCTGGTGGGCATTTAAGGATGTACTGCAGCCAGAGACTAGGGTCCCTCTGAGACCTCGGGTTAACCGGTTTTCTTTAACCCACTGCCACCTAGTGGCCACTGAGCAGACTGAACAAGACCTGAGGCTGGCCAGGAATTCTTTTTTGTTTCTTCGTAAGCCAATCCAGGAAGTCTAGGCAAAGCCAGATCTGGTCATTTCATTAGCCTTTCTACCCTGGCCAGTCTCTAGACATAAAACAAACAGGCAAAGACCAGATCCAGCGCTACAGGCCCTGCCTCCCCTCCTCTACTGTGGTGGCTAGGAATTTACAAATGCGGGTTGAGCTCAAGGTAATCTATGTCTTTCAGAGCAGGGAACTGCATCATCAAGTTAACTTGTATAAGAATCAGTGATTTTTAAAATTTTATTTTTATTTTATCCATATGAGTGTTTTGCCTGCATGTATGTAAGTGCACCCATATCATGCAATGCCCACAGTGGCCAAAAGGCGTTGGATCCCCTGGAACTGAAGTTCTAGATGGCTGTTGGCTACCATGTGGGTGCTGGGAACCAAACCCAGGTACTCTGGAAGAGCAGCCAGTGTTCTTAACCACTGAGCCATCTTTCTAGCACCCAATTTTCTGTGTATGCTCATACATGTGCGTGCACATACATTGTGTATGCGCATACGTGTGTGCATGTGTGTGTGTGTGTGTGTGTGTGTGTGTGTGTATACCGTTGTGCTGGTTTTTGTCAACTTACCACAAACCAGATACCCAGGAAGGAAGCTCAACTGAGGAGTTTCCTCCATTGGATTGGCCTGTGACCATATCTACGAGACATTTTCTTAAATGATAAATGATGTAGGGAGGCCCAGTCCACTGAGGGCAGTGCCATCCTTAAGCAGGAGGGCCTGGACTGTCTAAAAAGTGTAGCTGAGCAAGCCAGTCAGCAGTTTTCCATGGTGTCTACTTCCATTTCAGCCTTGATTCTTGCCTTGATTTCCATCAAACATGGACTGTGACCTGTAAGCTAAATCCCCCCACCCCCTGCCCAAGTGCTTTTGGTCACAGTGTTTATCACAGTAATAGAAACCAAACTGGGATAGTGGTGGTGCTAGGGATGGACCCCCAGGGCTTTGCATCTGCCTGAAAGGCACCCTATCAATGAGCTGCAAAGCCAGTCCTTGAAGCTTTGGAGATTGGATCTAGCTATGTAGCCTAGGTTGGCCTCCAAGTCCTGATCCTCTTGACTTTGCCTCTCAGTGCCGGAGTCACAGGCATGCACCAGGCCCTAGGCAGTGTGACGTCTATGTGTCCTACCTGCTTGGATTCCTTACACACACTGAGGAAAGCTGTGGCCAATTCACAGATTTCTGGAAAACACGTGAGGATCAATTACTCCAGTGTGGTACAACATTCAGAGGGATCAAATGGCACCTTCAGCAGAATGAACTGATATCAGTGAGCACAAGACAGAATAAATGCACAGGGCAACGACTGCAGTTTGGGGCTTGGAAGAGAGAATTCATAATGCAGGCCAAGTTCCTTTTCTAAGCATAAACTAACGAACTTGGGGAACAAAGCTGCCTTAAGAATGGTGATCCAGATGTTTGCTTGGTACTGAAAAGTACAAGGTAACAATAATGCAATCCCAAGTGGCTTCAAATATTTTATGTGTGTTTACACACATGTATGCCCTTTTGCATTTGTGTGTATGTATGTATGTACACTTCCAAGCATGATCCCTTTGCATCTGTGCCTACACCAGAAGAGGGCACCAGGTGTCTTCTCTCCATCACACTCCCCTGTGCCCTTTGAGGCAGAGTCTCAGCTGTTTCCTCAGCTAGGCTGGACGTACCAGAGAACCCACTGTCTCCATCTACCTTGGAGTTGGGGGCTACAGGTAAGTGTAGGGTGCCTTGGCTTATTAGGTGGGTGCTTGGATTTGAACCCTGGTCCTCATGGTTACACTTAACCATGTTCTTAACTGCTGAGCCATCTCTCCAGCCCTAGTTTGAAATATTTTAACTTTTTAGATGGGTGTCTTCTCTTGGTAATGGTTCTCCTTATTCTTCCTGCACTTCCCCCAAGTTAACAGAGACTAAGCAGCCGGAACATGAATACAATCATATTTATTAGTTTCCAGACTCCCATTTGACACGTACCTAGAGCAGAACATTGCAAACTGAAGTCACTAGCAGCAGTCTCTCCTCCCCCCAAGCAGGAAGAGCCCTGTTAACAATAAGGAGAAACGTGACAATGATAGTTGTGGTTTTCCTTTTAGCAGTTGGTACAGGAATACTCAAACTATAAACAGTCATCCAGCTTTAGCCTTGTCTGAAAACACACCAACAGTCCTGGTACAGAGGGTTACAGCTGCCAATAGGCCGACGTCTTTGAATGTCAGTTTGGAATAAGCAAATCGCTTTTTCAGTTGTTGTAGTTTTGTTTTGTTTTTTTATGAGACAGAGTCTCACTCTGTAGCCCTAGCTGGCCTGGAACACACAGTCATCCTCCTGCCTCAAGTCTCCAAGTGCTGGAATTACAGGGTGAACTGGCAGACCAGCTTTTAGGGCATAGCTTACCGTCTGCTTTACAGTCAGGACAACAGAAAAAGGTGATCAGCTGCTAGGGAGCCCAGCTGCACAAAGGCAGCCAGCTCACCACTGTTGAAATAATATCCCTGAAATTTTCAGACATTTTTCTCACAGCTTTGAAAATATAACATCAGAGGTAGCATGACATTTGCTCCAAAAGACTAAGAATCAAAAGCAACTGTGCTGCACTGGGAATCCCTTCTGCATCTTCCCCAAGACACGGCCCCATGCCTTCAGAGAGCTCTGAAAGAAGCATCAACTCCGGTAGCTTGTCAAACTACTTTGTATTCTAAATAAATGAAAAACCAACTCAAGGTCTCGGTGTACTGATTTTCTTTTCCTAGATCTTCCAACCATCCAAAGCCATTTCTTGAGAGAGCAAGAGAATTTGAAAGCATTTAAAAGCACTCAAAACACTGAGAGTTAAGGAGGCACAACCCTTCTTCAGCACCCAGAAACCCCAAAGGTTTATCATAAATCCACCAATTTGCCAAAAGGTTATGACAGACTCCTGCCTCTATCACACAGGCCAGGTAAGATATCTCTGCTTTGCAGCACAAAAAGCCTTCATGAGGGACAGGTGATCTGAGTCATGAAATGCAGCTGGCTGCATTCTAGATGTGGTGCAGGAAAAGAATTAAAACAGCTGCCAAACTACTCTATGTATACCATCATACTCCCTCTGAACCAGACTTTCCCATAGCAGCCATCATTCATAAACACACACAACTGAAAGTTTGGGGCAGCACCAATGACAGCTAGCTGTCTTTGAATAATTTTAACTTTCTTCCTAAAGGCAAAATATAGAGAACCTGCCAGGCATGATGGTACACACAGATCTCTGCGAGATTGAGGTCAACCTGGTCTCCATAGCAAGTCCAGGCCAGCTGGGGCTACAGGGAGACCCTGCCCCCTCCCCCTCAAATCTAGAGGACATTTAAAGATGCAATTTACAGAACCAATTGCATTTAATGACTCTGCCTCAGTTGGTTGTCACAGAGAGCAAGTAGAATACAGACATCCACTTTGCACCACGTTAGGTCTCCGTTTCTTTGTCTCAAAGGGAATGTGTCTACAGATCTCTAGAAAGCTCATGAGGCTGAGACAGCTCAGGGCTCACGACCTGTCCATCTCTGACGGTGGATTCTTTCTGAGTGAGGACAGCCTGGGCTGCTCCTGCCCCTCCAGCAGCTCGCATCCAGGGTTCACATGCACCCACACCTTAATGCTCTCTGCCTTGGTGTGCACCAGGCACAGAGAACAAGGTGCCAAGTGCTCCAGTGCCTCAGATACTGATAACTGGTGAATCATTTCAGAAGTGGCCTGCCTGTGGGCCTACGAGAGCAAGCCTGGGCTTCCAACTAAAACAACCTAAGGGGATGCTGCACTGTCAGTGGAGTACACAGGGTCCCTTCTGTGGACAAGGAACGGCATGTGGCATCGCTCTGGCTGAGAGATAGCTTCCATTTCTAAATCACCTAACAGAGCAAGGAGAACCCTGACTCCCACACTGAAATCACACATTTAATGCTTAAATCACCCACTTAATACTTAAAAAAAAAAAAGTTCCCAGGACCAGATTTAGACACTGCCGACTCCTCCCCTAAGCTTTTGCAGTGTATGACTTTCCCCAGGGGGTCGGGGTATGCTAGTCAACACTTCCACCACCTCTTGCAAGTTGAGCACAAACAAATGCCAGGACATACCTACATTCTTGGTGAGGTCCTGCGTATTGTATTTGGGTGTTTAGAGATTCCTTCAAACAATCAAAGCTGTTTGTTCAAAAATAAGGACTAATCTTAACAAATTGCCCAAGTCAGAATCCTTGCAAAATACAGGAGAGCAGCTTGCCAGCATTCTAGTTGTGGAGGAGCCCCCTTGGGTAAGGGGCAGGGAGAATGGGGGGAGAATGGAGGGATGTCTTCTAGGATGCAAACAGCAAATATTACTTCCCCTATTCTTTCCTTCTCCTAAGAGAAACTTCGGTCGTTTCCATAGCAGCTTTTACTGACTGACTCATTCACTCATTCACTCACTCATTCATGCTGGGACTTGAACCCAGGGCTTCATGAATGCACATGCTCTATCACTGAGTTACTTAACCTCCACCCAGCCACCACAGCAACTTACTATAATGACCTATTCAATAATATTTTTTTTTTAGCAGCAATATATTATTAGGACTTATTTTTCTTTATTTTTGAAAATTTCTCCAATAATAAAGGCAATACTTTTAAAAACTTATTTCTCTAAAAATAATGATCATGCTTTGTACAAAACAGCACATTTCTTTCCTATTCATTCCAGAACCACTGTCCAACTGGCCAATATAATGGAAGACATCGTGTGATGGAGCACAGATGGCTTAAAGATCGTTTCACAGCCAGAATTGTCATATTGAGGGGAAAATTGTAAATCAATCCTTATAGTGATCTGTGAAAGCTACGTACAAACATGAAAACTGGCACGTGTATAAAGTAAATCAGGTGGACCTACCCAGGCCCTGGAATGAGCAACACTCATCATGTCCCTTCTGATTGCTCATCTCTACATTACTGGGAAAAGAGAGCTTCCATCAGAGCATCAGCTAAAGGACACCAGAGTAGACGATGGAGGACAACCACACGGGGGGGGGGGGGGCATAGGCAACACTGCCTGATCCACCTGATGGGTGATTTGGGACACATGAGTCAGTGAGCACTTAGACCAGCAGATTACAAATAACTGTTAATGCAACTCTGCCCAGAGCCTCTCTAAACTTTAGGGCACCTGGTCTGGCTCTAGAATGCAAGACACATTTAAAAATAAAAACAAAGAGAAAATAAACAAAGTCCACAAGTTCCCCTTTGGGGACAATGCTGTTTGTAGGTGCACACTCTTCCTTTGAAACTGCCATACTATCTCTTGAAAAGATCAAGGGAATTCTTTCTGATAATTATAAGAAAAAGGTGGGGACTGGGGATAAGGGGGAGCAGCAAAACAAAGAAACCTCACACTCCTCTTAATGAGGTATTCTTGAGAACTTCCACCGACCCTCCAGGTGAAGGACTGGAATTGGAAAACAGTTGCTGAGTGTTCACTGACTTCTGATGATGGTGACGAGCCCATGGCGAGAGATGCCTAGGAAGACCCCTTTCTTATACAGCACCTGCCTTGCTCAAAGACAAAGAGAATTCTTGCAGAACTATGAAATAGTAAAAATTACTCACGGCACTTAAACATGTTGAGAGGCTAAAAAATGCCTTCTTTAAGTTCTGTCACAATGCCCCGGTGAGGTAGGTGGCTGATGGGGAAACTGAGGCACAGTGGAGTTATACCTGCCCACTTTTCATTGTCTGATGAGGCAGTGGTCCAGCCAAAAGAGGAGCCAGTGTTCAGCTCCTTAAATGTTACCCAGCCTGATTCTCAGGAGGCCAATCCATATTCTACAATAAACACAGCAGGGAAATTTTTCTGTTCATACATTTGAACTAATGAGCTATTTCTTATTCTCACTTTGAACATAAGTTATCTAAGATAAAGCAAATATAAACAAAACCCAAAAAATCAACATTGCAGTCTAACAGTCTATGTCAAGATGCAGCCCATTCTGCACTTGTGATTGAAAAGCGTATGGTGACACAATTCAAGTAGGAACATCCGCGGTCTTCGGCATTCCTGTCACTCAAGCCTACCGGTCAGTCTCATGCCCTTTAGGACACACCCACTCAACTTTCTAGGAACTTCTTTGGCCTGACACAGAATGAAAGCACCACCCCTCTCTCACGGTGTAACAATTCTGAGACACTACACAAAAGCAGCCCTCCTGCAAAGGGGACTGCCAGCTGTGTTATGCACGTGTATTACTGAGCTCATATGGAACTCTCTGAAGTCAGACATGGAGGGCACATGAGGACAGTTCACATACCACAGAGCACATGCACTAGCACCATGCCATGGAGTCAGAGAGGACAAGAAGCACAAGCACGTTATAGTCCCATCTGGTATGTCATGTGCAGAGGCCACCTCTGGTGAAGGGAAGACTAGTGAGCGCCCGCACTCCTTCCCAGGAGGAGAGGGGTCACAGCAGAGCAGCCACTGCTGGATGCTGCCCGGAACCACCCATCTAAATTTCACTCCTACACAAGTTGGTAGCTTTCCCAGACCTCGCTGATATTCAAGGACAATAAATTTCATTTCTTGATCAAGGGAGAATTGTGTAGAGACAGTTACAAGACATGGGTGGAGGGCTCTAGGGCAGTTTACACTGCTGCTCTTAGAATCAAATCCATGATAGGGCCTCAGCTTGTAAAACTGAGACCATTCTTTCCCATGTCCTAAAGTTTCTGAGGAGTGAATTCCACTCATACCGTGACCCCTGAGACAGAGGGAAGAGCTTACATTAGGCTTGAGAATCTGAAGTAGGCAACAACAGCTAGTCAGATGCACGTACCTATGAAGCCTTTCCCCATGGCATGAGTTCAACGGCCCCTCTTCCCGAAGCCTGTCCTCCCTGGAGCTCATCTTCCAGAGGGTGAGCCTGCTCTGTCCTCTGCACATGCAGGACCAGAGGGAATCATTCCAACTCAGTCTCATTGGGATACTAGGATACAGTAGGAGCAATTCATGCACTTTATTACTAAAACCCAACATGGGGCCGAGCTGGTCACTGTGCAAGATGAACCAGCAGTACGTTCTCGCCTCGAATGAAAATCTGATTGATGTGCCGTGTGAATACCTGCTGGTAATCTACCTTGGGCTTTCGCTTTTTCTTACGGGGCTGGCCCCTGGAGAGGGTGGTGGCCCTGGAAAAGGTACCTCCCACACTGGACCCTTCTGTCCGTGTAGTCCTCCCTGACAGCTCAGATCTGGACTCCTCCCTTGCAGATGCCTGCAGGGAAGAAGGGACTGAGCGGGAACGCTTGTGTGAGCCCCGGTCAGTGTCTCCATGTCCCCACACTGAAGCCACCTTCCAGGTGGAGGTCTGGGAGTATCTAGACAGAGTGGAGTCTTCGACTGCAGACTTAGAATCCGCTTCCTTCTTGGAGGAATCCTGAAGTTTCAGCCGATCAAACAGCTACAAGGAAAGCAGAGACATAGGTTAATACCTGTATTCTTCCTCTTCCAACACATATAAAGGCCAGGTTCCTTTTAGTTATACCTTGTGGACCTCTTGCACTGAAGTCCTTTTTTTAAAGATAGCGATCAGTTTTCAATTTCTGGCCATAACTCAGATAAATCAGTAAGCATGTCAAAAAAAAAGGTAGCCCTAACTTCTGTGGTGTAAAGCTCAACAATGTTAAAGCTTTCTAGGAGGTCACTTGTCTCTCACACATGCTGGTAAGCAGCAGCTGCATCCGGCACCAGCTGGAAGTTCGTGTAAGAGACTAACCCGTACAGGTACAGCTGGCTCACAGCAGGGCTCGGACAGCCTGCTCAGTGGGCTCAGGGACCATGGTTTCTAGGCTGGAAAGCGGGATGGGTACTCAGGAGGTCAGGGGAGTGGCCTACCCTAGTAAGAGTCAACGAAGAGTCCCGTTCGTATGCTTTGCCCAGAACAGGTTTACGGTAGGTTTCATCCACATCTGTAAGTGCCTAGAGGAACAGCCCAAAGGGGAGAAAGGAAGATCATTTTATAGCTTTTAAAAGATCATTTAGAGAATTTAAAAGATCATTTTATAGCTTTTTGGGGGGAGGGAGGCAGAATATCTAATCACTATAGAACTAACCTGGTAACTCAGCTCCTGGGCACAAGAAAACGCTAAGGCCTGGCACCCCTGCTTAGGAATTCCAGGCTGCTACCAAGACATGAAATGAGTTTTCCTGACAGATGGCCAGCCCTTTACAACACATGGTAGAGATTCTGAAATTCCAGTGTGCATACATATCCAGGAAGCTTTTAAAACTATAAACCTGAGGCTTTAAAAGCATTAAAAAAAATTAAACATTAATTTGTATGTATGTATATGTGCAAGCGCATGTGCACCACCATGAGTGTATGAAGTCAGAGGGCAACCTGAGGGAGCCTGCTCTCTCCTTCTACCATGTGGGATCCAGGGGTTGAACTCCGGGTGTCAGGCTTGGTGGCAAGCACCTTTATCCTCTGAGCCATCTTGCAGGACCCCAAGGCTCCTGTTAGAAATTCTCAGAACTACTGTTTAAGTCAGAAACCCCAGGTGGGCCCGCTGCAGGACAGCTGCAGACCACATGCTGAGAAACACCACTGCTCCTTTATTCTTCAGTGTCTGCCTTATGATGACAAACTAACAGAGGTTAACCAGGGTGATGCACAGAGTTACTAGTGAGTTCTCACCAGGAAGCTCACCCTCACAGGACAATTATTAAAATGAGAATTTCTCTAAAGAATGTAAAATTACTCTATAAATCAGAAGAAACAGTAATTACAACTACTATCAATAAATAAATTCTCTTAAATTCCTTCCCTCAGGGCCAGGTATGGTGGCTCACACCTGTAATCTCAGGGGACTAAGGCAGGCAGACTGTCACAAATTTGAGGCAGTCTGGGCTATATAATGAGTTCCAGGCTACAGAGTGAGACCTTGTCTCTAAGAACAAATGAAGGAACTAAGTAAACTCTTTCCCCTTAATGATAAAATTATCACAATACTTTATCCTGTGTTTTAGAAATGAGAAAACTGAGGCTCAGAGCAATCACCTTGCCTCTAGGTAACAAAGCTACCATGTGCTGAAGCCATTAGGATTTGAATGAAGTCTGTAATAATTAAAAGCATGGGTTTAGGGATCATAAAGACCCAGGATAAAGGCTTGTACTTTCACCTGTTAACAGTAAGAGCTGGACCTCATCTAATTTCTCTAGACTCGACCTTCATTTGTGGAATGGAACAGTAGCAGAACTTACAATTAATTCATGAACTGAAGATATTAAGGGAAGCTAAGGTAGGAAGATGGCAAGTTTGAGGCCAAGCTGAGCTACAGAGAGAGAGAGAGAGAGAGAGAGAGACAGAGAGAGAGAGAAGAGATAGAGAGGAGGGGGAGAGAGAGAGGAGAGAGGAGAGAGGAGAGGGGGAGGGGGAGAGAGGGAGGGAGAGAGAGAGGGAGGGAGAGGAGGGGCGGAGAGAATGTGTATGTTCATGCATGTGTGTCCATGTACATTTGGAGAGAGAGAGAGAGAGAGAGAGAGAGAGAGAGAGAGAGAGAGAGAGAGAATGTGTGTGCTCATGCATGTGTGTCCATGTACTCTTGGAGGCCAGAGGTCAACCTTGGGTATCATATTCCCCAGGAGTCAGTTGCCTTGTTTCTTGAGACAGGCTCTCTCACTGGAACCTAGGACTCCCCAGTTAGGCTAGGCTGGCTGGCCAGTAAGCCCCAAGGATCCTCCTGTTTCCACCTCTCAAGTGCTGTGATTACAAACACATACCAACATGGTTCAGTACTTTATGTGGGTTCTGGGGATTGAACTCTGGTCCTCATGCTTACACAGCAAGTACTTTATGGACTGAGCTAGTTCCTCAGACCCAGAGTGAGTGTTGAGGCTAGCCTGGGCTACAGATACCCCTTTCCCCAAAAGTTTGGCTATACAGAGCCGTATATAGCATCCGACACACGGCAGGAAATCAATGTCAGCAACTAATGTTATTATCCAAAGGAATGTACCGACGAGGGTAAGGCACAAGGGAAAAGACAGCTGGAGATGGAAAAGAAAGACTAGAGGCTAGAGAGAGGGTGCAGCGGCTAAGAGCACGAGCTGCTCTTACAGAGGACCCACATGGTAGCTAACAGCCATCTGTGTCCAGTTCCAGGAGATTCAACACCTCTTCTGACTCCATAGGCAGTGCACAACACAGGTGCACTTACGTGCAGGCAATATACTCAGACACATAAATGAAAATAAAATAAAAATATTTGAAAGAAATACCAAAAGGCCTTGGCAGCTCTCTGTTAACCACCTCGTGTTGTGACTGTACTGTGACATACCCCTCCTCTCCTGTAAGCATCTAATAAGAAGACAGCAAGTCCCTATAATGTTAAGGATGTGTGGTACACTTACACTGTCTTAAGGAAACACCATGCAAAGTGTTTGGCTTATTAGTGTCTGCTCAGCCTCTATCCTCTTTCTTCCTAAATATACCAGAATACCAGAATGAAATTCCTTCCTGAAGCCTCTGGACCTGAAAATGGACCCAAGCAAAGTGGGATTCGATAAAATTTTTATTTTATTTATTTATTATTTTATATGTATTCGTGTATTGTCTGCATGTAGGTAAGTACACCCATGTCGTGCAATGCCCTCAGAGGGCAGAAGAGGCTGTCGGATCCCCTGGAACTGGAGTTATGGATAGTTGTTAGCTCCCATGTAGGTGCTGGGATTCGAACCCAAGTCTTCTGCAAGAACAATCAGTGTTCTTAACCACTGAGCCATCTCTCCAGCCCCCTTGATAAATATTTTTAAATGAATAAACGAATGGCTGGTAGGAAACCTATTTTAAATTACTAAACAGGCAACCTTATTCCTTAAGGTTAGGACTCTCAGCCTTGGCACTAACGGCGTGTGAGATTAGACATTTTTTCTTCAGTGGAGGACGGCTGTGTTGTGCACTGTACAATGTTCAGCAGCACCCCCACCTCTGGTGGCCAACAGCACCTCCCACAGATGTGACTATTAAAAACAAACAAGAAAACAAAAACAATCCCCAGACACTGTCAATGACTTTGGGAGGAAAGGAAGATTAAATTGCCTGATTGAGCATCACTGCCTTAAGAAAGGAAGCAAGAAAAGTAATTACTTTTCTTTTGATATTCTTGTCCAAGAGTATATAAAAATTTCAGTTCTGGGGGCTGGAGAGATGGCTCAGCGGTTAAGAACACTGGTTGTTCTTGCAGAAGACCCGGATTCGAATCCCAGCACACACATGGCAACTAACAACTAACTGTCCATAACTCCAGTCCCAGGGGATCCGACAGCCTCTTCTGGCCTCTGCAGGCATTGCACAACACAGGTGCACTTACCTACAGGCAGGCAATACATGCACACACATAAAAAAATAATAAAACATTTAAAAATTTTTTTCAGTTCTGAGAAGTTTTGTTTTTATTTTTTGGGGAGGTCTTTTTGAGACAGTGTCTCTGTAGCCCCAGCTGGCCTAGAACCCACTATGTAGACCAGGCTGGCCTCTATCTAAGAGATCCACCTGCCTCTGCTGGGACTAACCGTGTGCGCCACCAGGCCTGGCAGGAGAAGTTATGTTGAAGATTTTGCTTATTAAAGAGTTACTCAGACCCTTCAGAAATTTATGAGCAGTTAATTACCATATTCCAGAATTTGTCAAATGCAACGAGGAAGCCTGTGCAGACGCCCCGAAGTCCCTTGAAAGTGCGGATGTGAACATTCACCTTCACCCCCTCCCGGATGCAGCGATGGAGCTCACCCAGAGGGCTGCCTTCGTGCACTGAAAGGAGAGAAGACTGTCAGCACATCACGAACACCTGCCTTCATGCCAGGACCAGCCACGACCACCCAATGCAGCCAGCAAACTCAAGGCAAGCAGCAAAGCAGCAACCTCCCTCTACAACTGGGAGCTCCAGGAGCAACAGAGTACAGCCAAGAGTGTGGATGAGCCACAAGGGACAAGCAGCCATCCTTCACCACCCAGAGATACACCTCCAGTTGACGGTGCTTCTAAGATGGACCGCCACGTGAAAGGCCGCTGCAGTCAAGAAAAAGATCAACACAAATGTGCACACCAGCAGCTCGGTTCTTCTCAATTCCGCATCTCTGTGTAGTTCTCGTAAACTGCAGACCTAGCTCACGCTTCTCCAGCAAAAGCCTTGTTCATATGTTTGAGGGAATCACATCTGCCTCCAAATACATGCCATCCACTCAAAGAAAATGGCCTTTCTATGACTTAAATATTATTCATTAAAATCAACACGTTAAAAACCTGACCATTATAATTACTTCCACAGGTAATAGAGCTGTTCATTTGAGTAATTTTATGTGTCATAAAAGTCTGAAGTTCTTCAGAAAAACAAAGTTGTTATTTGTAATTGCATTTATTCTATTTGAATCAATAGTTGCTATTGCTGCCTTTAAGAGGAATTGATAAATTTAATACTTTTAAAAAACTGTTAATTTTGCTGGGAGTGGTGGTGCATGCCTTTAATCCTAGAACTCGGGAGGCAGAGGCAGGCGGGTTTCTGTGAGTTTGAGGCCAGCTTGATCTATAGAGTGAGTTCCAAGCTAGCTTGGGGCTACAGGAAGACCTTGTCTTAAAAAGACAAAAAGAAATCACTTTTATTTTTAATTAGCATATACAATATTAGAATTCACCATGGCCACATCAAACAGAATTTGTTTTTCTTGTAGACTAGCCTTTTGAGATAGTCTCTGCAGGAGCTCCCTGGAGTCACTGGTATTTCAATGTCATCTTCTCACCGGGAAACAAAGGACCTGATGGTGTGCAGGATGCCTGCTTGGCATCTGGCTCCTGAGATTCCTCATAAGCATCACACTAAGAGAGCAGAGTGCTGACACGTGGAAGAAATAATGGACATGCAGTTTCAGTTTTTATGATGAAGGATTCTTTTCTCAAAGCTTGAGAACAGTGATGGGTGTTTCTTATTTCATGTTAATTTCTCTCTCACGCTAAGCTGGCTCTAATATTAAAAAAAAACAAAAAACAAAAAAAAACTTCCCCAAAGAATGACCCTCAATACAAAAAACTTGATTATTTTTCTTGCTGATATGAAAGAGAACAGCCCCGGGCTTGCTTCAGTTTGGATAACTAAGGCAGCTCCTCATTGCTGAGTCGGAGTACAAATGAGAGTCCTGACGAACGAAGGAAAATACCCCTGGAAGAAAATGACTCAACAGATGAGACGTAGGAGTTTACATGTCAGACTGGAAATGTGTGACAGGTACGGGGGGGCGTGGGGGGGGGAAGCAGCCGTAGAAAGGAAGTAAGAGCGCTGGCCTGAGCGTCATTTCCTTGTAGCAATGGCTTCAACTTCTTTGAACTGATAAATGTGTGTGCACGTCTGCATATGTGTTAAATCAGGCATTGTAAGCATATTGAGATCATTACAACTAGTGAGACCTTGGTGAGTACACTTTTCCTTACAAGTGTGTTTTCTCATTCAGAAAATCAAGTTAGGTTAACGTCTAGATTAATTTTGGGACTAAGTCTCTATTCTTCAACTACTAGAACTGATCACAATGCCCGGATGAGACCCTTGGCACACAAATATGCACTGCACCTGCCTCCCACACATACACACTGGGAAGGGGCACTATTGCATTCTTCCCAAAATGGAGAGATCAATAGTTCTTCATTCTAATTAAACAAGCGGCCAACTCAGGTACTGAAGTCTTGTGTTGGTAATATTCTTTTTTTCTTCCAAAGATTTAATAAGGTGTAATTCTAGGAAGCATAAGGAGTTATGTGGGCAAAAACCTAACACCAGCACTGCCTACACAGACAAACTGTTGAGGCAAAAATGAGCTTCCCATTCTAAACCAGATGTGCATTCTTCTCTAGTCATCTCTGTGAGACTCCAAACAGACAGGAGCCAGGCTTCTGAAAGTTAATGTGACAAAAAAGCATGTGCCTTATTTTAAAGAAAGTTTTTTCAAAATCCCCCTCTGGATTGCCACGATTTTGGGCCTTGCCTTCCAAGCCTGTGGCTATCATTAAGTTCAAGGCATAGATTCTTGAGAATTAAGACCTTTCCGGTCCCCTCTCCTTCTGCAGCACAACTCAGTCCACATCCTTATCAGATGCTCCCCTCACCAACATCCACATCACCCTCATTACTACCACCATCATCCCCAATTACCAGGCCATCTGTGCCAGGCCTCTGGAAAGTTTAACTTTACCTACATTATTTAATTCTCACAACCCAAACACAGAGGTGACATGCTAGCGAGCAGGGCCTTCTTCTTTTAGGTCTAGCCCCTCTGCAGCTGGTGCTAGTAACTCCTGGTAGTTTTCTAGACCTCTTCTAATGGCCAGGGCTTACAGCTCTCCCACTTTATGGCTCTTGACCAGCCTTCATCTTCCACAGACTAAGCTCTGTCTTCTCTGGCTGTCTCAGCACATCCTCAGTCCACTGCAGGCTCAGTCTTTATAATCTCTGTCCCCAGCTGCTCTCCGGAACTCTTGGGCCACCCTTGAGCTGCTGCTGGGTGGGCCTAGGGCTAGTGGCCTGGGAGCTGTCTGCTCTTCTTGTCTTCTGGTCTGCCCACTCTGTGACAAAGACCACAAGCACCTAATTTGAATGGTTATTCAAATGAGGCTTCACTGGGGCCTAGTGCTGCAGCACAAGGTGGGCAGGTAGTACAGGAGAGGGAGGGAGGGCCCCTTACACAGTTCTGACAGCCTTGGGTCTGCACACCACTAACCTTGTGCTTGGTCACAGTCTGTGCAGGTTTACCAGGCATGCCTGTCCTGTTATGTGTGGAGAAAGTGATCCTTCTCACTTGTGTGAGGACATCTATAAGCTGGGAAGACTCATTCAGAGGGCTGCTGGCTTGAAGCAGTCTCCTAGAGATACTGCAGGGTGAAGACATGGCAAGGTGACGACACTGCAGGGTGATGACGGTGCAGGGTGACGATACTGGGGGGGGGCAGCACTACAGGGTGACACTGCAGGGCGGCTGGATTGGTTGTGATTGCAGTTTTCCAAGCTGTTAGGCTGTTAGGGTGATGGCCTCCAGAACAGAAGTGAGAGCTTTTGACACAGCAATGATAGTTACAGTGGTTTCTGTGAGCTGACTGAAGTCACCGTGGAACAACCATGGCCCAAGTAGCTCAAACAAAGTATCCCTAACCAGATATGAGGCATTTAAAGTAGCCATGGCTGTCCTGATGACAGTTCCCCAATCACAGAAGTGGCTGGCTGACTGACAGCTCCAGAGTCTAAGACGGTGTTGGGACAGCTGAAAAGGGCGCAGTTGCCCCCTTCCCCAGTGGAACTTGAGGAGTGGCCAAAAGGTCCTTTACAGCCTAACTGGGCTCAGGCCACTGCAACAGCAACAGAACCCTATCTGCTGTCCTTACCTGCTGGGCATGGGGGCATTCCTGGGTAGTCTCGGCTATGGCAGAACCCCGGGAAGGGTCTGACAGCTGCCAATCAAGACACTGAACTGCTCATGCTTTGATAACGTCACAGTCATTTAAAAGGGGGAAACAATATGCTCACAACAAAGATCTACCATGAAATAGCACTCTTCTCTGGTGAGCTTTATCTAACAATGCCTATCCCCCACCCAGTCACTCTGAGGGAAGCTTGGGTCCTCCTGATCTGCCTCACAATTATTTCATTCCAATTTATAGTTAAGGAAGATGAGGATCAAAAAGTGCTGAAGTAATTTTCTCAAGGTCACTTACCCGGTAAATAGCCAAGCCGATCTTCAATACAAGCAGGTTACAAGTATTCTGACCTTTATAATTACATCAATCTAAAAAAAATAATGACCACTCCAACAATCTACAGAGAGTGACATTTCACACTGTTGAAAAGGTCCCTACGTACTACAGAACATTACTGTTATATAAATGCTTTAAAAGTTCATGAATTTAATCCTTACAGTGACAGATGCTATCACTCCTTATGTTCAACACCCTGGAAAACTGAGGCCTAGAGTTGAAGTAACCTGCCTAGAGCGAAACAGAAGTGGAAGGGGCCAGCATTCAAACCTGAGAGACCCATATTCGGTTGTCAAGAAGACTGACTTCTGTTACATGCAAATACTCCTGATTAACCTGATTTTTGAAGTCATTTTCACTCAGGCCCTTCTTTAATGCCAAGTCCTACACCTGATCTTTAGAAGAGCTCTTTGCTTAATGAATCTAATCCTCACACTTCTGTCACCTGCCTGTTTTCTGAAGGTTATTCTCTCCATAGCATCAACCTGTCTCTCAGGGAACTCCCCACTCTTTCAGGTGTTCAGTGACTAGGGTACATACTGTGCGATCTTGATTCCAGAAATGTGTTTAATCGTGAGGTGTGCACGGTCATAATACAGTAAGGTGTTCCACGGTAAAGCTAAAACCAGACGGAATGGAAGTATTTCCCCGATAGTCTTGGTAGCAAAGCAGTAATGGTAGAATAAATGCCACGCTGGGAGTTCAAGTGCAATTCAACAATCTGGTAGTGACAAAACAAATGGGCAAAATGTGGTACTGTAAAGTGCTCTCACTGTCTTTCTGCTACAGCTGTGCCAGCCAGCTCGAGAAAATCCTAGCTTGGGGCAGGGATATACTCTGGTACAGCATGTCATTCGACAAAGACACCAGAAACACCACACAGCTTTTCAGGATGTCTCTCCTAACAAATTTCTAGGAACACAGTCCCTTGCTTAGAAGCTCTTTTACTCAAAAATAAGTCATTTCATGGTGTGAAGTCACTTAATGGTGTAACAATGTAATTATCGTGTACAGATGCTTTGACTGAATGCAATGACTAAAAATAGGTCATTGTGTTCAAGGGGCTGATGTCAGAACTATTTGCCAGATGACAAAAGACATAACCCTAGGCTGTTTCTATTCCATTTATACAAGACCTATCCCACACTAGAAAATCTTTGTTGTTTACACCTTTACTCCGAGGACCTATTAGGAAGCTCCAAGAAATTCCCTTGTGCCATTTACACCTTCAGAATTTAAAGCACCCTGAACACATGGTAACCTAAGCCTGACAGTCCTGTCCCAGCCAGAGGTTGGAAACCGGCACCTGCGTTTCAGTGGCATCTGTGTCTGCGGCACTGCAACACTAACTCGCGAGTTAGTACTGTGCACATAGACTCAAGTCCCTGCGGCCAGTTCTTCTGCTAGCAGCACCCCAGACGCAGCTGTCACTTCCCAGGCTGCGATAGGGCAGCTATCTGAACAGATCTCCGCACTCTCCATCGGACCCTCAAATCCCACTTACCTTAATACTGGCTGAGCTCTCCCCCTCCACAACTTCCACATGCCGCCCCCCATTCCCCACGGGGGTCCCCAAGACCTCTAACCACTTCTGCAGACCTCTGATGCCCCGCACTGTCCGCGAACCCCTCTGCAGCTCATCCTCCTCCGGAGACACCTGTGCAGACCCCAGGGCCGTGGCTCGCAGCCAGCCCCTCTCCCCGGTTTTCAACCCCTGCAGACCCTTGCGGACTCACGGGCGACCCTCCCCGCCAGCCCGAAGCAGCTCTTCCCCGCAAGCCTCCCGAGCCCCGGCGGCGGCCCGCGGCACTCACAGGGCATCCGCGTGAGCACGTTGCGCGGCGCCTTCCTGCTGCGCCCCGGGCCCTGGCGTCGTGCCCCGGCCGTGCCGTCCGCGTCCTCCTTGGTCACCATGAGGCGGCGCAGGCGTTGGATACGCTCGGGGTCCGGGGTTCCCCGCGCCCCGCGCCCGGCCGCGCCCGCCGCGCCCGCTGCCCCGCAGGAAGCTCTCGTACTCCGCCACGTTGTTGAAACAGGGCGCGTTGGGGTAGGGGATGGGCGGCAGGCACGGCGCGTACAGGGCCAGCAGCGGGTCGAAGCTGTCGGAGCTGACGTCCAGCCGCGGGCTGGGCGGGCTGGCGGGGCTGGCGGCGCGAGCCGACCTCGCCCCCCACTCGCGCTCCTCCATGTTTGAAAGGCCCGCAAGCCGAGGCCGATGGGAGGAAGGAGCCGGGCCGCCAGAGGGCGGCACTGCGCAGCCGCGGAGCGGGAGGGCGCACTGTGCTGACGCGGCCGCCAGGGGGCAGCAGCGGCCCGCTCCGGGCAGCCGCAGGGGCGTGGCAGCGGCGGCGGGGCCGGCAGTCGGAAGCGTGGTGAAGGGCGGGGTGGGTGGGGCGACGGGACAGGGCATCTTCCGCCTCCCCGACAGCTGTCATCTGCCATTGTTGGTACTCTAATGCACTTTTCCCGCCATCTAGTTCATTCCCGCTTAGGGTGTTGTTGAGACTCAGGAGGTGAGGCCTGGGGTCAGCGTTTTAACATCCCAGGGCATCCTCTGCCCTCTAGCTTGAGGGAAAGAGGGCAATGCACATCTCATTTTGCATTCCTGTCAGTCCTACTCCCCCGGCATGGATTAACCTGTCTGGGCTCAAATCATTTAGCCTCTCTGCGTTTTTACTGTCAATCTAAACTACGGTAGGGAAGCCACCTACCTCCGATTCTCAGTACTGAAGAGGTTGCATATGTATGGCTGAGTGTTCCAGTCTAAGTACTATAAGCGATGGGTGGCTCCAGTCCACATTTCCTTTCCCTACACATAAACAGTGCACTAAGACCCTCAGTACCAAAGAAAGTTCATTTCATCGTTGGCTTCCTGAGCATAGCTGTAACAGGATTCAGAAAACCTACACTACTTTATAGCTTTTGTTCAGCAAACCTTTTTTCAAACGAGCTTCCAGACATTACCTCCTCATCCAGCCCAGCCAAGACGTCTCCAGCCATCCACAGCCACAAAACACTTTAACTGTCAACTAGTATGAAGTCTACACTAGTTGTCTGGTGTATACTTTTGAAAATGTAACCAAGAATACTAGAGTGTCTCCAAGAGGAAGTTGAAAATTAATGTACAACTGAAATACAGTGGAACAAATGCAAAGATAAAGATCAGGCAACAGCCTGTAGGTAATGGTTTTAACTTTAATATCCTCTGCCTGAACACAAAAATCTCAAAGCTGCACAACAGCCAGTAACCCAGCAAAACCAGTTTCTTAGCACTAACTCCAGTGAGCAGCTTTTCAGAACCTCAAAGCACACATTTTCTCCAGTGGCTTTATCAGAAACTTTGTAATGTATTCCCTACTTGTCCAATTTTGCTATGCCATCAACCTACCTTAAAATTTGCTCAGGCGCTGTATGTCTCACTGCCTCATCAGTATACTGAGGGACTTGTGTGCCCAAAGTGCTGTATACTGACAATCACCTATCAGAGAAAAAACACAAGTCCCACATATTCACACGGGAGCCTTAGATTGGCATTTTAAAATTAAGTATTCCGACTAAGTTTCTTTGAATATATCTCAAAGCCTCTAGATGTCTGCCATAACGTAGGAAAGTGCATCCTAGCTTTCTCAAAGACATACACAAAATTTAGACTCATATTCCTTAGAAACCAATTAAGTAGGCTAAGGGAGTTGAAATTTTTATTTTTTCTCAGAGATTTTAGCAATTAACACACATGAGCTCTATTGCTTCTTCCTGTGGAATGAGAATAGGAAGGAAAAAACCAGCATCGACAGATGGGGTGTCAATTACTGAAGGATGAAGCCACGCATTGCTCTTTCAAAAATACATTTTCTTCTTGGCTGTAATTCTGCAATGCAAGCCCAGACACTGGGGCATGGGCTGTCTCTTAATTCTTAATGGAGCCAAATAGCTTTTTTCCTCTAAAACATAAAACAAGAACAAGAGGAAACGTGAACTCATCACTTATCCCCGTGACCTGCCCACTGGCAACAAGATTTCCACTGTCATTTTCATCCCCTTCCCATCTCCATAGGGACATGAGAGGTGAGGTTATTCAGGACTCACAAGCATCCTCCAGAGCCACCTGAGACCCCAAGGCGAATGTTTACTACCACTCCCCACCCATTTTTTAAAATTATTTTATGCATATGAGTGTATTGCCTGCATGTATGCAAGAGCGCCAGTGTCGTGCAATGCCTGTGGGGTGCTAGAATTCAAACCCAGGTATTCTGCAAGAACAGCCAGTGCCCTTAACCACCAAGCCATCTCTCTAGCCCACCGCCCCATATGTTTTGAATCTTGCTATATATGTTGTCCAGGTCGATCTTCCTGCCTCAACCTCCCTCTTGGGGTGCTAGGATTAAGGTCTACCATCATACCAGGCCTGGTGCTCTCAAATTCAAGGGTCACTGCTGACATCATAGAGGCTACTTGGGAAGCATGGTTCAGAAGTCCAACAGGAAGTCAACCTTTACAACTCAAGTACTTACAAAGTACATGGAGTACATATTTCTCCACCCTTGTTCATGTTTACACATTTCTCTCTCACAAATACACACATTTATCTCCCAAATACACTTCTTCCAAAAAGGTGACTTTGGAACCTATGTCCCTGGCAAAAGATGATGATCATCATGCTGACGACTCCACAAAAATCAATCCCTGCAATGGTATGGAGGGATATCCAACCACTACTCATTTGTTCAAAGATGCCACCCTGGAGACTGGCATAAAGCCTTGAATTTTCCCTAGGATTCCTCCGTCTGCAGGCATCGTGCAGGCATGAAACCATATTTGCCTTCAAGAATGCCAAAAATGGATGCAAGCACATGGGCGTCAGAAGTGAGTTTTCCATCTAGTCAAGAACAGGTAGGTGGGGAGTAAAGTCTGGGCTCCTCTCTGTCACAGGTAAAAAGAGAAGACATGTTTCAGAAGATTTATGCTATAATCTAAAAATGACTCATCCTAGAAGACATGAATAGTTCTTTATAAAAATAGAATCACGATTTTGAAAAGAACCAAAGAAGTCATATTCTAACACTGTAAAAAAAAAAAAAGAAAGAAAGAAAGGTATTCTGCTTAAACAGAACAAGATTCACCGCCCCCATCCAGCCCTTCCTTCTCTCCATCCAAATCCAGTCATGCCCCTCCTTGTGCAGTGTTGTGGGCCAGGACTGCTTGGGCCACCTAAGGCAAGGAGACTGGGGAGCCCTGCATGAGTTGGCACTCCAGAATTGCAGAGCGTAGTCAGCTCTCTTCCTCTAGGATCTCTGGGTGTTCTTTCCAGAAAGCATCTCCCATGATGTCACAGTACAAGGGCATGGGCCTATTCCTGGTCCGAGTCACAGTTGTCTCTTGTGCTTCCTCTTCTGTTGGCAGCTTCATTTCTTTTATCACGACTTCATCCACCTACAGACCAAAGTTAAAGCAATGACACTGGTAACTCGGGAGTAAGATCAAGAGAGGAAGGGAGGATTTGGGGAAGTTCACTGTTTTCCTCGATAGGCCACTGACTGCCAGTTTGACTGTTTTTGGAAACGTGGCCATAAGAACAAAGAAGGGATTCCATTTCCTTGTTAGCAATGGATACAAAACTGAAGGTTCTTCCCTTCTGCCTGCATTAAGAAGTGTCCGAAGCTGTGTAAAGAAAAAGTGTGTAAGAAAATACTAATACATAACCTGAGGCTCCCAAGGGACTCTTCAATTCTTTATTTGGGGAGTGGGGAGGAAAGGGTTTATTTGGCTTACACCTCCCGGGTGGGACCCTTCAATTCTTAAAAACATCCATTCAGAAAAAAAAGCCTAACATAAAAGGAAACGAATTTAGAGAAGTAAGTATGCCCAGGAGCTGACAACACGGCACACACCAGCAGGACTAAGATTCAGGTAAATGTACATATCCATCATAGAGTATTAAATATGCCTGAGGAATCTCATGAAAATGCTGATAGTCTCTCGTGTGTGTGTGTGTGTGTGTGTGTGTGTGTGTGTGTCCTGTGCCTAATATTTCTTAGTGCTCAGTATTTTAGTTGTCATGGACCATTTTAAAGATACCACCCAGCAGAGGAGAAAGTATTTTTAAATGAAAGTGGCATTCCTCCTGTCTCTCCCTACCTTTGAAGAGTTTATTTGCTATGGAAACATGGAAAAGCAAGTGCACTGATTTTAAAACTCTGTGACACTACTTATATCTACTTGCAGCAGAAGTAAGGCCACTACTGACTAACAACAGAGCATCCAAACTAATCCTCTACATTGCCTATTGGAAAGGATCCACAGCTCAGGTTAGCAACCGACACCACATCTGCATACGGGGTGGCAGGTAAAACAAAGCCTGGAAGGACACAAGCTCTTTGTCCCGAGTCGCCATCGTTCCCTTAACACAATGCATTACCTTTTGCCATATCAACACCGTTCCTTTTTTGTACATCTGTGGTTCATTATTGTAGTTGATGTGGAATTCAGTAAACAAAATCTCATTCTTGTCTGCTGCAAGTGTTCCCTGAGAAAATACAATAGAAAAATCTCAGCACGCTTCCTTTCTCTCTGAACGTCCACAAAGTTGGAAGATGGGGAAGGATTTTTACCAACCATTTTATAGTACCTAATGAATTATTTTAATTGCAATTCAGATCACTTCACTACAGAAGTACACCCCAGCCCCTGCCATTCAAGTCCTATCTGCATGACCACATTCATAAAATTCTCTTCTGCTTCAAACCCTGAACAGTGAGGGGGAGACGGGGCCTAATGGTAAAGTGCATTGTGTACAGAACCCTGGTGTTTTCTTACTTGAGCACAGCGCCACCTCCATTTTAGAGATGAGAAAGTAAAGCTTGGTAAAATACAAACTGCCCAAGGCTGAAGGTTGTTTGTCTTTACTAGACCAAGAAAATCAAAATCTGAACTTGGCTCCTCCAAACTGGATGCAGCTGCTGGTATTCTACTATCGCTGCATACAAATGTTTGTCATTAATGTCAGTAATGAAGACAGCCGAGCAATTGCTCTCCAGGGGACACTGTATTAGGAGCTGTCACAACACATCGCCTCATTTCAGTGAGTCATCTTCAGGCAACACTGAAGGAACGCTGTCTCAGAAGGAAAGCCAGTGCTTACTTTTCCATGTTTTATATGCACCACGGCACTTTCCCTATGAGGTGGGAACTATTACTTCTTACACTTTATTGAGGAAGAGAGGATACACAGAAGCATGATCCGAGAATGTTTATTTGATTCCCAGAATATGGACTCCCATTATATAGATATTCTAAATTGAAGAAGTAGCAGGTGCCCAGTAGGGCATGGTATGAGGGAAGAGGCCTGGAGGACCGAGAAGAGTTCGTGCCCTATGGCAGCCAACACACGGCTGCAGCCAAGTGCAAACATGCAGAAATGCATTTTCCTGCTGTGGACACAGAGGCCTGGGGAGAAGCAATAACGGACCCCTGCTTACAGAGCAAGCAAGTTACAGAGCACTGCTATCAAGATCCTTAATGTCCTTCTGGAATGAAGCTGGAAAGGGAGTGAAGGAATGTAGAGGACATTTCAGAAATGTTATGGTGGAAGATCTTTATACCTTTAATCTCTCCTGAGCCTGTGCTGGTGTTAGTCCAGATTGTTGGACAAGTGCCCAGAAAACGGTGTTATAAAGATTATTGATGTGACCTGCGAGGAGCAAAAGAATGTTTAAAGAATCTTTGTTACATACATAGAATATTATACAGTGATGACATATGCAGTTTTATACATAGAATATTTATGCTTCCAAGAACATGAGAGCCCAGCCCTTTCCTCTTTACAGTATACAGATCTCAGAGCTATTTAGAGACTTGCCTAGTCTACACAAGGTAACAGAGGAAAAAGAATAGGCATCAAAAATCTATTTCCTGGGATAGAGGGATGGCTCAGCGGTTAGAACACCGGCTGCTGGGTTCGGTTCCCAACACCCACGTGGCAGCTAACAACTATCCATAACTCCAGTTCCAGGAGATCTGATGCTCTCTTTTGGCCTCTGAGGGCACTGTATGCATGTGGTGTGTTTCACAGATGCAGGAAAAACACTCATACACATAAAAATAAAATAAATACCCAACAATTTATTTTCTGAAAACAGTTTCATGTATTCTAGTATGGCTTATGTAAGTCTGCTAACTTATGTGTCCATCCTAGGAATACTTTCAAAGTTACTTGATTTGTACCCGTCCGATCTCTTTGTCAGTTCTTCTGGCAAAATAAAAATATGCAAACAAATGAAGTTCTCATAAACCCCACTATGGTGGTATAAGGCAGATGTCACAACTCAAATACCACTGGTGTTGGCACAAACTTGAATTCGAACAGAGGGGTGATCCCAGGGGAACGGTAAGGAACAGCAGAGACTGTGGAACATATAACCTCGTGTGTGTGCGTGTGCGTGTGCGTGTGTGTAAGCAAAAAGGCAGCTGCCACTACACAGGCGTGGCCTAAATTAAGTGGGAGGCAGAGTTACCACATCTTCTGATTTATAAAAGCAAATGGGCTGGAGAGATGGCTCAATGGGCAGGCGCACTGGTGCAAGCATGAGATCCTAGCAGCCATGTAAGAAGCCAGGTATGGCCACATGTGCTTGAAATGCAAGGTGGGGTGGGGGCGGAGACAGGAGGATCAGTGGAGCTTGCTAGCTCTTGGCCTAACTCACCCAATCAGTGAGGGACTCGATGCAATACAATGGAGAGTAATTTGAGCAGGTCACCCCACATCCCGCTCTGGTATCTACACACATGAGCACAGGTATGCACCTGTGTACACATACCACACCAACACACACCTGTGTACACAATACCATACCAACACACACAATGACCCTATAGATAGTTTTCCTATAAAATCCCCCAATTTTTCAAATATTGTTGATTAATTTGGGGGTATCAGCTGGGTGCAGTAGCGCACACCCATAATTTCCATCCCTTGGGAAGCTGAGGTGAGAGGAATGAATGTTTGAGGCCAGCTTGGACTATAGAGCAAATCTCTCAAAAAAAAAGTAATACTAATAAAATAAAATAATTTCACTCCTAATAAAATAGCTAAACCGAATTCAGACCCACAGTTCTAATGCATAGATTTGGTAGTTTAATTATAACTGTACATTTGGTATCACTTACAGTCTGCCTGACGCCAGCTGAGATAGTCCTTTAAGGTCTGGTTGCTAGGGTATACCACAACTCTTCCGTCAAAGCCTGGAGGATACAGAAGGGGCTGGTCCTCAAAGTAATCCCGCCAGTAAAACACGTAGCTGGAGGCGAACTGGGAAGCCACGAGAGTCATGAACTTACTTGCAAATGTAAGGCACATTGGGTGAAGCAAGAAAAGAAAGAATGTTTGATATTAATTCCACACCAAGATAGGACCTGTGGGTGCAACAGAGAGATGACAGAAATGGCCCAACAAGCCAGGAGACCAAAATATATTCCACTAAGGAAAACCATTTGAATATTTTGCCTATATACTTTAAATGTAGCCTGCCTCTCTTTCCAAACTTAAGCCATTAAGGAACACCAAACTGTTCTCTAAAGGATGAGATACAAAGTTTTAGTTCAGGTTTTATTTTAGTTTGGTCTTGTTTTTTGGTATTAGTTTTAGTCTTGGAAGAAAAGGAACCAATACTTTAAAAACATACCAATTCATTACCTAATGTAATTCTCTTAAGTTTCAAAATACTGCCAAATTAAATATAAGAATTATTTCCTTATTTTCAAGTTTAAATAATACTGCAACACACACAGTGACCAAGACTTGCAAAGCTGCCCGTGACTCATGAATGTTCTGTTTTTCTGATCTGTTTCTTGAGTCTAAATAGTCAATGGGGGTCAGTCTAAAATCTGGCTGATGGTCACAGAGGGCAAAAATCAGGGACACAGGAAATGTGCGCTGTGTCAACATCACCTGCAATCGCTAAGATCTCAGCTGTCATTACAACAAACACAAAAGCAGAGGATGGCAGGAAACACCCTAAAGCAAGGAGGCAGGCCGCAACTACCTGGCTCTTCTTTTAAACCAGTTGCTTTTCCGCCTGAATACAAAGCTGTACTCGTCACTCTGTCCATATGCAATCACAATGTCCTCCAGCTCTTCCATTACTGTCTGGGCACATTTGGTCATCAGATGAAGTGCTCGCTTGTCATTGGGTTTTGTAAAGTGGTGCTTCTCAGCAAACCTTCACAGAGGAAAGCGAAAAGGGCACAGAGCGTGGAGAGTTTATCACTGAGCACAGTTCATAGGGGCAGCTCAAAGAAGAGTGCAAGAGAATTAAAAGCCGGGTGTGGTGGCACCTGCCTTAAGCACTTTGGAGGCAGAGGCAGGTGGATCTCTGTGAGTTCAGGGCCAGCCTGGTCTACATAGTGAGTTTCAGGCCAGCTGGTGCTACAGGGAGACCCTGTCTCAAAAAGACCAAAAAAAAAAAAAAAAATAGCATTAGGAGGAACAACCTAAAACATACTTCCTTAGGAACTGCAGAAAATGCTGTTCGTAAAGCAAAGCGCGAGGATCCAAGTTCAATGCCTGTAACCCACATAAAAAAATCTGGCTCTCATGGAAGGAGAGAACTGAGAAATGACTCCTGCAATTTGTCCTCTGAACTCCACACAGGCTCTGTGGCACATGATACCACCGCCCCCTCCCCAAAGTAAATGCATTAAAAATAAAAAGTTAAGAGCACTGGCTGCTCTTGCAGAGGACCCAGGTTCAATTCCTAACACTCACATGGCAGCTAACTCCTAACTCCAGTTCCAGGGGATCCAATGACTTCTTCTGACCTCCTTGGGCATTGAATGACATGGGTGCACTTACATATATGCATGCAATACCCTCACGCACATAAAATTAAAAAAATATATAAAATTTTTTTTTAAAGCTGGGCCTGGTGATGCATGCTTAGAACATCAATGTTGGGGAGGTGGAGACAAGAGGATCCCTGGGGCCTCCTGGTGAACAGGCTAGCCCAGTTGGTGAGTTCCAGAAAAATAAGAGACCTTGTCTCAAAAAAACACAAACTGAGGCTGGAGAGATGGCTCAGCAGTTAAGAGCACTGGCTGCTCTTCCTGACTGGAGTTCCGTTCCTAGCACCCACGTGGCAATGTCCTTAACTCCAGTTCCAGGGGCTCCAACCCCGTTTTCAGCCCTCTCTGGGCACTGCACATACATGGTGCACTTACATGCACAGAAAGCACTCATACACATGAAAAAAATAAATAAAATAGATCAAAAACAACTTTTAGCATTTTACTTATTATTTTACGTTACGACTGTATTGCCTGCATGCATGTAAGTGCACCTGTGTCATGCAATGCCCTCGGAGAGCAAAAGAGGGTGTCAGATCCCCTGGAACTGGAGTTAAGGACAGTTGCCATGTGGGTGCTAGGATTTGAATTGGGGTCCTCTGCAAGAGTAACGAGTGCTCTTAACTGCTAAGCCATCTCTCCAGCTCCAGTAAATCAAAATTTTTTTTAAAAAATCAAAGTGGTTAGCTCCTGGGGAGTAACACCAAGACCTGGGGTCTGTGGGCCTCTGTGAGCCTGTGCACACAACCCCCTCCATGAGCATGCACAAGCCTACACGGGCACATACACATGGACCCCCCCAAAACACACACGGTCCCCACACATGGACCACCACACACACACTCTGACAGTACACACACAAGTGGATCCCCCCCAGTCTCACACATACACACACACACACACACACACATACAGAGCCATCATCCACAGATGGACACACACACCTACACCCACAGACATACCTGGACCACACATTGCCCGCACTCACACATACAAACAAAACTACAGGGTTTTTTTGTTTGTTTGTTGCTTTGACTCAACAGACAAAAAGGGATCCAAGTGCTAAGCTTCAATTCCCTTTCCTGTGAAGTTCACTGTACTGAGTGAACAGATGAACAGAGACTATTTACCTTATCAGGATGTCCTGAAGATCAGGAGAGGGTCAAAATGTAATTATGCCTGGCTCTTCTAAGTGCTCAGTAACTATCATTATAACTTATATTTCACGGTTACGCTCACTAATAACGTAGCTTTTTTTTTTTTTTAAACTAATGACACAGGGGCACATTGTCAACTATTGCCCGCAAGTCAGGCTTATGGCGGCTTCTAGGTCAGCCCTCATAGAAGCTAATAAAATAGGTGGGCCTTTAAGTACTGGGCCAGGAAGTGAGACTGTTCCCCAAATTCTTCCTAATTGGCTTCTGCTTACGTAACCCGGGCTCTTTCCTAATTAAAGCACCTAGTGCCTTTTAAACACCTAGACGGCCTGGCAGGAAGCGCAGACAGCTACCTCTCCCCGGGACGCTCAACGCCGCGTGCTCATTGGCTGCCGCGCTACCCCGGTAACTGCCCAGTTTCCCGCTCCGCACTCGCGCTCCAGGCAGCTCACCGGTGGAAATTGCGGCCGTCCAGCCGCACCACCACCCAGCAGTGCGGCAGGCAGGAGTCATCGACCTCGAAGCTCCGCACGTACTCGAACTTGCTCTTGGCCATGGTCACCCCCAATCTCACACCCCGGCTCCAAGTGACGGAAACCGAGGACGAGCAACAGAGGACCTGAGCGGCGAAGGAAGCCCACATTCCCCACGCTATAGGCGGGGTACGCCCGCCCCGGAAGTGCCTTTAGGTCTGGCGGCCGCTCTAGCCGCCCAGGAGGTCTCCCCCTCGCCTCTCCTGTGTGCCTTCTTCCCTGCGGGTCCCAGGGCAGTGCGGGTGGGGACTCCCTTTCCTGGCCCATTCCTCCTTTCTCCTCCCCACCCTCCCGCAGAAAGTCACTCTCGCGAAGCTTCGACACGTTGTCTGGGGACTAAGACTCAGGTTTAGTTGAGATTTTTTTTCTGCCTTTATTCCTAAATATCATTTATTAATTCCTTGCAGGGAATGTGAAATACACTGAATTAACTCTTCATAGCCGGAGCCCTTCTGTCAAAGCGAGAAGGTGGAACTTTGCAGACTTCTCTACGTTTAAAATGGAACACAAAATAGAAAATCTATCATCCATACAAAGTAGAAATCCATCATCTATACAATTTTGTATTTTTTCCCATTGACTTTGTTTTCTAGTGACACTGATTATTCCAAAATGTGATTTAAAAACAAAACAAACCTTCCTTTGAGTTGTTGGCCAGGGTGGCCCAAGAGAAAATAAAAAATAAAAAAAAAAATAACATGCCGGGTGTGGGGACTCACCCAGGAGACTTAGGCAGGCAGATCTCTGTGATACCCAAAGGCAGCCTGGCCTACAGTGAGGTCCAGGTCAGGAGACCCTATCTCAAAAAACCAGTGGGTGGGAGGGAGGCAGGGGAGGTGGGGACTTCAGTGGGGGCCACACACACACACACACACACACACACACACACACACACACACGGTCTGGAACTCACTTTGTAGACCAGGCTGGTGTGGAACTTCCAGAGATCCGCCTGCCCCTGCATCCTGAGTGCTGAGATTAAAGGCGTGCACCACAATGCCCGGCTTCTAAAAATGTTTTTAAAATAAAAATAAAAATAAACGCCGCCTCAATATTCCACCATATGGGTGTTCTAAACTTTTCCAGCATTAGGCAAAGACCTAGCATTTGTTTCTTGCTGCTGGTATTACAGAAATGGAAAGCTTTTGCAATGTGATGGTTATTAAGAACTTTGAAGCCAGGAAAACTTGAGACAAGAGACCTGTATGGGGGAGGTGAGCAGGAGTCTCCCTGTCCTGCCCCCTGTGGTTGCCCAGGATGGAAGTCTTTGTTTTCCTATTCCTGTAACCTTTGTGGCCATGTGTTACCTTGTTTAATTCTCACATGTACCTTTTACTTAATTGTCACCTATGTGTTGTTTAGCCTTTTGTTTTCATTTCCCCACACACTAGTATAAAAACCCTCCAAAACTTTAACAAGGGGCCTACTCCTTTTATTCACGGGGTCAGTCCCGCTAGTGTAAAATTATTAAACTTCCTCTCCTTGCCTGACTTCTGCTGTTGGTCTCTGATTTTTCCATCACACTGGTGTATGATTGCAATCCTCATACGATTTCTAAAGCGCTTTCAAGTTTGTTGCCTATTTACATTTCTTTTCATCCTTAAGAAAAATAGAGCTGGTGATGCAGCTCAGCTGGGAGAATGCTCACCTGGCATACATGAAGCCCCCAGTACTGCATAAAACTGGGCTTAGTGGTGCACATCTGTAATCCAACACTCAGGAGATGGAGATATGAGTATCAGGAGTTCAAGGTCTTTCTTGGCTACATATCTAGTTTGAGACCAGCCTGGGATACATGAAACCCCGTCAAAAAAAGAATAGGGCTGGTGTCCTCTGGACCCACATGGTAAAAGTAGAGAACCAACCCCTGCAAGTTGTCCTCTCACACACACACACACACACACACACACACACACACACAGAGGCACACACATCCACACATAATAAATTAAATAAATAAATAAATGTAATTTTTAAAAAGGAAAAATATTCAAACAGTATAAATAGGAGGTATAAGTGTCTGACAAAATTCTTTATTTCACATACTGTTGGCAATTTCTGTTACCAGTATCTGGTATGTCAATCCAAGGGCCTGTTAACCTATGCCTGTGTGTCTCCATAATTGTACCATAAAGAGTGACCATTATCTCCTTTGATTCTGACCATTGCTTCAGAGAGAAGCAGGGAAGTATTGGTACCTCCGTTTGATAAAGGGGAAGTCTGAGATTCAAATAGAAAAAGTAATTAAAAGAAGGTTTCCAATGCGGCAGAGGTGGGGCAGAAATCCATGCCCCTATCTTTCCCTTGTTCTTCCTATGGAAGTCAGTTTTCTGTAAGTTACCATTCTTCAACATTTAGCTCTAGAGCCTCATCTCCAAGCAGATAGGAGCCTGAATCTTTCTTCTTCAGAAACTGTACATTCATTAGGTGAGTTTCAAAAAGTAGGTAAGATCTTGTTCTGTGGCTCAGCCTGGCATCTGACTCGGGTTCATGTGACCTCCCTGTCTTAGCCTCCCCAGTTGCTGATACTACAAGGCATGTTTCCAATGTCATAGACAACTGGATTAATTTAAATTTTGTACTTATAGTGTAAAGTTGTGATTGTGTATTTATGTGCACTTGTGCGTGTGCATGTTGGTGTCAGATGTCTTCCTTAATTCTTCTCCCCCTTATTTTTTGAAAGAGAGTCTCTCACTGAACCTGAAACTCACTGATTTGTAGACTAGCTGACCAGCAAGCCCTGGGAGCTTCCTGTCTCTGCCCTCCTCATGCTGGGATTACAGGTATTATATTTTTATTACTTCTTTGAGTATTTTATATAATGTATTTTGATCATAATCATCCCCCAACTCCTCTCAGATCTACCCCACTTACATACCCCCAAATCTTGTGTCCTATTTTCTTTCTTTCTTTTTTTTTAAGCCCACTGAGTTCAATTTGTGTTGTTCAAAAACTCTTGGGTGTGGATCCATCCCTTGAAGCATGGCCAACCAACCGAGGCTCACACCTTTACAGAAAGCTCACTCTCCCTCTTCCAGAAGCTATCAATTGCCAACAGTTCCTCAACTAGGAGTCGGGTTTTGTGCCCACTTTCCCCCTCCATGATGGAATTTTGTCTGGCTTGAACTTGTGCAGGTCTTATGCACACAATCACAACCCCTATGAGTTTATATGTGCATCTGCCCTGTTGTGTCCAGAAAACACTGTTTCCTTATAGTCACCTGTTGGGGACCCCTGCTGTTTGGGTCGCAGTCTCTCCATGTCCGGACAGCCCAAGGGGCTTGGCGTTCTTATGCAGAGACTCCCCTTTCCAGCAGGGCGCCTCTTACTCTCTTCCTGCCTCACTTTGAAGTGGCCGCCACAGATGCCCTACCAGAAACATGACCTCTGGCATAAAAACTACCAGGTTTTCCTATATGATAATCAGGCATTATCTGACAGTCTGATAGAAGCCCACCGCCACATGTAAATGGGGCATCCTAGGAGCACCTATCAACTGAGGCTTTTGCTACTGCCTCCACACTATAAATCTTCTGGTTTCACCCCAATAAAGCAAAGCTAAATCACTGAGTAAACGGAAGCTGTATCACTAAACCTGTCTGGAGCTGTATCTGTGTCTCACTGTGCCTGGAACCAGCCTGTGATTCAGTCTTCCCAGAGGGGGCTATCCTTCCATCAACATTCGCTCCCAAAGATCCTGCTTTTGCCGTTCCTGCACGTCCCCTCCTGATCCGGTGGCGAACGGATCGTGTGCACAGAGGGAGCATCCGGCAGCTTTGAACAGAACCCGCCCGGCAGCTGACAATGACCCACAGAGCCAGCAGCGCCCAGTAGCTGTGGAGAGCCAGGGACCCACACAGCAATGCAGTGCAGGAAACCCGCACACCCCAGCCAACAGCTGGCGTAGCAGTGCGCAACCCGCCGAGCCACAGCAACAGTCACCCACCATCTCTGGCTCTTAAAATCTTTCTACCCCTTTCACAAAGATCCCTGAGCCTTGTGTGGAGGAGTGTGATACCAGTGTCCCATTTAGGACTGAGCACTCTGCAATCTCTTATTCTCTGAACCTTGAGCAGTTGTGGGTCTCTGTGTTAATCACTGTCTACCGCAAAAAGAAGTTTCTCCGATGAGAGTTAAGAGAGGCACTAGGAGTTGGTTTAATACTATGTCTATTTAGTACAATAATAGCAGTAGGTTCTCCCCTAGGGTCTATCACCTATCAAGCACAGGTTCTTGGCCTCCAGAATTTTACCAGGGATGAGTTCCATCTTTTGGAGTGTTTGGTTACTTCCATGATATTCATGCCACTATTGCACCAATGGGCATACTTTGCCAGGCCAGTCCTTATTGTGGATTGCAGGGTTTACAACTGGGTAAAGTTGATGACTAGTTTTCTCTTCTGGCAGCGTGTATAGCACCTTCCAGGACTATTATAGCTAACCATTAGGATGTTAAGCTTTGTGGTCGGTATTAGCTTGATTTTTTCATGCAATCAATTATAATACACTGAATAACTTAAAGCCCACAACACCATAACAATGCAGTAAGAAAGGAAAAGTCATTTGATGTTATTGGAGATAATTATTACACTAACTTCTTACACCAGCAATTGGTTATTAAAGGGAAAGAGACATTTACTTATTCAGTGCCAGTTGATGAGGAAAGCTTTTTATAAAATAATGCAAACTACTTTAAAATACAGAATGGTGGACTCAGAAAAATTAACTTTTATAAGCATCTATAAAATAATTGATCCTGGGGCTGGAGAGATGGCTCAGCGGTTAAGAACACTGGCTGTTCTTGCAGAAGACCCGGGTTCGATTCCCAGCACCCACATGGCAGCTAGCAACTGTCTGTAACTCCAGTTCCAGGGGATCTGACAGCCCTATCTGTCCTCCACGGGCATTGCACGACATGGGTGCACTTACCTACATGCAGGCACTACACCCATACACATAAAATAATAAAGAAAAAAAAGAATTGATTCAAACAAGTTACTAACACATTCTAAAACCATTATTTTTAAAAAATATTTTATTTTTATGTGTATGTGTGTATTGCCTGCATGTAGGTAAGTGGTAAGTGCACCTATGTCATGCAATGCCTAAGGAGGACAGAAGAGGCTGTCA